TTTCCGTACGTTTACATACGATGGGAAAGGTTCAGAAGGAAGGCAGAGGTGGGTTCGCATGAATTGTCCGAAGACAACAAAAATCGTCGGCGTGACACTGCACTCACTTTCAAAGTTCCGGAAAAAAGATTTTCTGCACAAAATCATTACAGGCGATGAAAAGTGGATTCTTTAAGATAACTCTAAACGTAAAAAATCATGGGTTGATCCTGGTCAACTTTCGATATCGACGCCAAAGCCCAATATGCCAAGAAGGTTTTGCTCTATATCTGATGGGATTGGAAAGGTGTGTTGTATTACGAGTTGTTACAACCGGGTGAAACAATCACGGTAGACCGCTACCAACAACAATTGACCAATTTGAGCGATGCATTAAAAGAAAAGAGGCCATTTACTGGCCAAGGACGTTATAAAGTGATCTTGCTTCATGACAATGCTCGACCACATATTGCGAAAGCTACTCAGGACCATATCTTTGCGTTAAGCTGAGAACTTCTCCCGCACGCGGCATATAGCCCAGACATGGCGCCTTCCGATTACCTATTCCGGTCGGTGCAGCATCATTTGGCTGATACACATTTCGTGAGATTTGAAGACATACGAAAATGCATTGATGACTTTATCGCTTCAAAGCCGATGAGCTTCTATCGTCAAGGAATTCGCAAGCTACCCGAAAGATGGCAAAAGATCGTTGATGCAAACGGGGAATATTTCGCTGATTAATATTTTTTTGTTTGTTTTTGAATAAAGATTGAATTTTACAAAAAAAAGCTCAGAACTTTTTTGTACATCTAATACATCACATACCTACATAAGGGTATCCCAGACTGCCATATAAATCGTGAAAATCTATAATATACGTGACACCTTTTACGGAAAATAAGTGAAAAAAAATGAGAGAAGGTGATTTTTTTATCTTGTATTATTGCATGTTTCTAAAACGGTCACCCATCCTACTTGGAATCGTGCTCGATGCTGCTTAACTTCTATAATGGGATGAAATGATGATATAACTGAAATGATGATATAAGTGAACACGGAATTTTGACATAAAATATGATAGATCTGGTTAATGAATGTTACTATATTGTCATATAAATAGTCTTAATTTTTAAATCTCGATTGCTTATATAATTCTTGTACTTTAATTACATATATAGATGCGTGAACCTATATTATGTTTAACGAGAATCATTTTTATTATTAAAATTATTTATAAATTGTTGAATATATTTTGTTTATTTGTTTATGAATTTGTTAATACTCTAATAGCACTCGTCTATTCTAAGAACGTTCCACGGGATATCATACAAGTATATCGAGATATTCTCCGAACATTCGAAATACGTACTAATATGTACTGGAGAATATCTCGCAGTATGACCATAGAATGAAAATGGTTTAAAAACGATATATCATGTAAGACATAAGGGTATCCCAAACAGCTATTAAGATCATGAAAATCTATAATATACGTGACACCTCTTATGGAAAATAAGTGAAAAAAATGAGAGAAAGTACTGAAACATTTTTTATCTTGTATCATTACATATTTTTAAAATGGTCACCCATCCTACTTGGGATCCATCTCGATGCTCCTTAACTTCTATAATGGGATGAAACCTGCAACTGAAATGATGATCTAATAACTAAACACAAAACTTTGACATAAAATATGATAGATCCAGTTAATGAATGTTATCATATTGTCATATAAATAGTCTTCATTTTAAAATCTCGATTGCATATATAATTTGTGGATAATTTAATTACATATATAGATGCGTGAACCTATATTGTGTTTAATGAGAATCATTTTTATTATGAAAATTGTTTATAAATTGTTGAATATATTTTGTTTATTTGTTTATGAATTTGTCAGTAATTGTATTAAATATGGGAAATATTGTTCTTATTTAATACATAATATATTATAGTTAATTAAGAAAAATAGTTTAATTAATTATGTTATTTTAATTAATAATGTCATTACATTATTTATTCATTAAAAATGATTTAAAAATGACGATTAAATGACAATATATTTATGATAATATTTTGTGGCAAATGTTACGTTTATTTTACGTCGTTTTTTAGTACACTGGCAAAAAATGACCTTAAATCATCGTCATAATGACATCTTGCTATTTGGGATACATAGATTTTATACAAATAATCTTAGTATATTCGATATGATCATAGTACATTCAGTATAAATGCAGAATATGATATCATATGCTGCTAGAGTATATTCGGTATATTTTGAAGATAAGCTTAAGAAATACGAATAATGATATATCATCAAGATGTCATATAAATGTTCTTCAGTATATTAGGCAATAGTACGTATGATCATAGCACTTTCAGTACGAGTATAGAATATTTGAATGATATCATGTGTTATTAGGGTAATTATATTAAATGTGGGAAATATTTTTCTTATTTATATATTACAATTAATTAAGAATGATAATAATTAATAATGTTATTTCATTATTTATTCATTAGAAATGACGATTAAATGACGATATATTTATAACGATATATTATAATATTTCGTGACAAATGTTATTTGCCACGTTTATTTTACGTCATTATTTAGTACACTGATGTCGAATGATGAAAAATAATCTTAAATCATCGTCATAATGATGTCATCTTGCTACTTGGGATACAACAAATTATATTCTACACAGATTTTGTACGAATAATCTTAGTATTTTTGTTATGATCACAGTACATTCAATATAAATATAGAATATTCATATGAGATCATGTGCTAATAGGGTATATTCGATATATTCTGAAGATAAATTTAAGAATATACGAGAAATGATATATTATCAAGATGTTATAAGAGATGTTATATGTTCTCTAATATATTAGGCAATAGTACGTATGAGCACAGTACTTTGTAAATGCAATATTCTACCATTCTAAGCAAAAGTTTAGGATTATTATGTATTCGATACTCGTATGAAATGGTTGGTTAACAAATTAGAAAATAATTATGTAAAGTTTAAAAGCATAACCGTTGTTTCAAAGGTTATTACAAGAAATACGTTTATCCTGCCCAAAAACTTTAGAAAATTTAGCCATTATTGTCATGATTGAAAAGAACCAGGAGTTTTGGAATACTAGAAGGACTACCGATGGCATTTGACGAAACTAGACTAAAATCTATATATATTTCGATTAATTACATGACTTTTAAATATTTAATTACAATTATCTAGATGATTTACAAATGTTTTTAATGACATTTTATAACTCTTCACGAAATATAAACGATTCCATACAAAATCATTGTTTCTTTTATCTTCAGCCAATTAATCCGGTCAAATCCATAGTAAAAAAATAATACAATTGACTGAATGACTCACAAATCTTTTCAATTGCACTTCAAAACTCTTCAAACGAATTACAAACGATTTAACATAGTAATTCCTCAATCGGATCTTTTTTCTGATCAAGTGTGCGAGTTTGTGTTTTTCATTGTGCATCCAGCTTTACCATTGACGAAATTGAGCGCAATGATTACGTAAGTGTCGGTCCACAATCGGTGATTTAAGTAAGCTTTAAGAAATAAGAAATTGACCAATTATAATCGAATATGAAAAGAATAATCGACTATGATTGGTCAATTTCTTACGACTTAAAGATTAAATACTTATTGTGGACCGACACTAACACAGAAATCAAGATTGCATTCCGATATTTACTGCCAATGCTTAGAGATACTACAATTAAATTGGCCGCAACTTTGATCCGCCAATCAGAGATTCTGATCCGCCATGTTTTGGCTAAATCCTGAAACGAGAAAGAAAGAAATATACATCATCTCACTCTAACCAATAGCGATTTTTTTTATTTTGCATGTGAATTGATTTAAGTATATTGTGCATGTGTATTAAACACGTGGAAAGCGTGATAATATATTATTAAATAATAGAGATACTAAAATTGCAAAATATAGTCATAAATTAAT